AATATATATATATATATTTATTGCGTGTGAAAGCATTTTAATGTTTACTGATAATCTGCCAAATTTCGTTAACATTCGCTTACTAATTTAAAACTTATAGCATGAAAATTATAACAAGCACAAAATGGTTACGAGGCTCGGTCCCTGTACTTAACTGAATTAGAATAATACACGGGGTTTAGTGAAGTATGATTAATTAGTTTAGTTAAATCCTTTTTAACTCCGGTTTCAAGTTGCACAAGCGGATGAATGGTGACCCATTCCACCTGGACAGGATGGCAGTCCATCCAAAGTTAACCCCAGCTAAAAACAACAGGTACCCATCGTACAGCTGGGTTGTTTGAAACTTGTTGAAGAACACAACAACATGAAGTGGCCAACCTGGAACTCGCTACCATACGATTGCGAAGTCTACTGAGCCACGCAGTATAACTATCACACTTCAAATATATCCTACTTCCATTTGTCTGACTACGTCACTATAAGTGTTTTCAACTCCTGTTAAGATCAATAATTTTGTTATTACTTTGTGAGCCCATTAAGCCGTTTATAGTATTTATCTAAAAAGTAGAAAGAGTGTGCTGTTGGAGATTAGAACCAAATAAACATCGTTACCAGAAAATCGAAGTATATGTATATATACATTATTAAATCGTCTTTTGTACTTTAAACACAAATATTTATTTTTAAAAAGTAGAACTTTTAGGAAAACAAAGGTTACACCACTTTTCTACTATGTTATAAAGCAACAAAAAAAAACTATAAACATATTAAAATTTTATTCATCCGTAACGGCTTCGGACTACTGTTGTGTGATTTTTTGGCGAGAGGGCGCGAGGACTTCTTTTGTTGTTGTTTTATTTATTTTTTTGTTAACCTGAGCATTCAGAAGACATGATTAAAATAAATGTTTTATTGAATACTAAGTTATCTGTAATATTTTTTATTTTATTTTTATATTGTTTTATTTAATATTAAAATACAGTTCGAAGTATAATTACAATTTTAAGCCTATTGGAAAAGACGAGGAGGTATCCTTGTCGTGATATAAAAGACTGTTTAGTGTATGTAGTATTAATTAATTTATCTTGTGAGTTAATATTTTATTATTATTTCGTGTGTTTTTTTGTTTATAATAAGAGAGTTAAAAGCAGACGATTGTTGGAAGTTGTGTTTATAATTCATTGATGTTGAGACTATCAAATGTCGCGTGCAGTACATTGATATTGAGAATATAGAGGTTTCTAGAAGGCGGGCAGAGGATTAAATGAAAAACATATAAATAGTGTGAGACGAGCGGAAACAGCAGGCAGACAGAGCAGACGAGAAAAAAAAAAGAGAGGAAGAACTGTGGCCAAAGAAAATGTTAGAAAACGAAAGTTAACCGTCGTAGGAGTGGATAGCTTAACGGTTGATATGTTAAAGTGAGATTAACAGTTTTCTGACACTTTAGGAGAATAATTTGTCTCGTCAAAGGGTGTTCTAAAGCAACTGAACCTGCCTCTGTGGACTTTGACAAAACACAATAACAATACAAAAAAAAACACGATTATTGGAAGTAGGCCTAAATGCTAAAAAGCATTCGCCACCAACTCTTGAAACTACTCTCGTCTGGTCAAATTGTGGGAATTCACCCTCATCCTTATAACGCATCTACGGCCCCAAAGTACGAAACACGGTTTTACTATTTTCTTTTTATTTGTCGGTAACGGGACGTTAGCCATTGAGTCACGCTGTGCCATTTTCAAGGTGACTTTTTTTTGTTAAACACAAAGCTACACAGTGAATTATCTGAGTTATATCCACCACGATTATCGAAACCTATTATTTAGCGTAATAAACCTTCGGACTAACGCTGAGCCAGGTGGTTAGGGACGTTCGACTCGCAATCTGCAGGTCACGGGTTCGAATCCCCGTCACACCAAATATTCTCAAGCGCTATAATGTGACGGTCAATCCCACTATTCGTTGGTAAAAGAGTAGCCCAAGAGTTGGCGGTGGGTGGTGATGACTAGCTGCCTTCCCTCTTGTCTTACACTGATAAATTAGGTACGGCTAGCGAAGATTTGTGCGAAATTCAAACAAACAAGCTGAGCCAAGAAACACAAAATAAGACAGCATACATAAACACCGAAAAGGCAAAAGTATTCAAAGAACGCCTACAAAACACACAATGAACCAGATATGAATGAACATTTCTACAACACAGTAAACAACCACATTAAACAAAACATAACCATGTACACACCAAAATTTCCAATCAACATACAAAACACAAATATCAGACTAAATGAAATAGAAAACCCAATTACACATCTATTAACAAAAACAATTACAGAAACAGAAGTTCAACTAGCCATTAAAAACAAGGCACCAGGAGAAGACGGTATACAGGCAATCCTCCTAAAAAAAGGCACTCTGAGATTGTATGGACACCTTACAGCAAGTGATTGTACTAATGTTCCATAAAGAAGGAAAGCCAGCAAATAAATCAAACAACTACCGGCCGAAAAATTTAGATAGGCAATAGATCACTTAGTTAGACTAACTAAAACAATAATAGATAGCTTTAATAAAAATGAATGCACTGTCGCCTGCTTTCATGATGTCGAGAAAACTTTCGACACTGTATGGCACAATGGTCTCAGGTTCCGTATGACAGAATTGGAACTACCGAGGGTGATTCTTCGCTGGCTATGTAGAATAAATGTAAGGGGAACCTACTCTGAGGCGTTTACCCCAGAGGCAGGTGTACCACAAGGAGGGGTAGTTAGCCCTATTCTATTCATCATGTATGTGAGTAATATGCCTCTAAAAGACCCAAATCAAGCATGTGCATCACAATTCGCGGACGATGTTGCGATCTGGAAAAGTGCCCCACCCCATCCATAGCAACAACAAATCTACGACCACTATTAAATAATATAGAATAATACTGTCAAAAATACAGAATAAAAATAAACGTCCCAAAAAACCAATTACTAACCTTCACAAGAACAACAAAACACAAAAAAAGACCCACCAAAACTATATATACACCTGGAAAAAAGTTAAGCACCCCCAAATATTTTTCAGGATTGCTTATTGAAAATAAGGTTTAATTTTCATGATGTTGAGCAATGTTCATAATTTCAAATATAATTAAA